TCCCGGAAGTGCCTTGAGGCTCGCACTTGAGTGATATCAGGCTGTCGCTTAGGGAAGTCAGGTATATGATGGAGTGGATCCGACTATACATGTGTATATATAGTAGTGGGTAATTGTACACCAATCTATTTTATATGTATACAGGATGTCCCAAAAATGCATACACATTTTAATTAATGATTGCATAATTGGTGTTAATTATAGTTTTATTATTTCAAAAACTTTAAAACAATTACAAGTATTACTTTATTGTTTTCGTCGAATGTTCTTAAACTGACGTTCATATTAATCCAGACACTGCAGACAACGCGAAACAGTGGAATCGCATACAACATGTAACAATTTTCTTGCTATTTGGGAAGATTCATCTTCAGTGACTTCTCTCAGTCTAATTATTTAAAACATATTCAAAATACAGTGAAAACCGATAAAATGATACTTATAAATCTTTTTGCACTTTTGAAATAATGAACTTATAATAAACAACAAGTTTACAATAATTTTAAATGTGTATACATTTTTTGGGACACCCTGTATGTATTAAATTCACAAAATAATTATATGTGATCGGTTTATTTATCAGCCTATAAGTTTAAGAAAAAAACTCGATAGACACAATGTCTTATAAAACAAACGTTGACGAGCAAATTACCGGTTGCTAACAGAAGGCAATTTTCCTGTCGCTGAAAAAGACATCCTTTATTCTGACGTTTTTGTCTTTGATGTGAACAGAATTGATAAATCTTCCTGAGACTTTATGTGAAAAATGCAATTAATAGTCGTGCATAAGCTTGCTTCTTGGCTGGCCTCGCCGAATACTTACTTATTCTGATTCTACTATAAGTGGTTTTTAAGCAAAGTTAAGTATCTAAGATTTTTGGACACGATAAACTGCAGCCATTTCGAGTATAGGATACATTTTGCGACTAAAAGTCCTAAGCCAAAAGGTGAACACGGTTTCTGCGCAGATATCTCGACAGTTAAGTATTTTTTTAAATTCAGTAAAAGGCGTAGTACCTAAAATTTGCGAAACATTGATATCCCAGATTTCAAACGTTATACAACCAAGAAAACTCCCGAATGGATGATAATTGACCTGCAGTTTAAGAAAGCATAAAGTTTATAATTTTATGAAGAGTTATTTGGTGCTAGATGCAAATTAACGCAAAAACGTCCAAAACTAAAAAGTTTGAATTTTCCTATGGAATGAATGCGTTCGTTTATAGAAAGAAACAATGATTTTTTGTGCCAATAACTGGCTAATTAAAACACCTCGCGCAAGATACTTTTAAAAACATGTTTCAGGTAATGACCAAGGTAAATATTCTTCGATATTTGCTGTAATTTGCAGTAGGAAAGCAGGACAGCTATTTGGCGTTTTGGTACTCAATTCACAATGTTGTGATGCAGATTCGATGCAGGGTTTCTTTGTACGCACATGCTGTTATCTTCAATGAAGCGGAGGTAATTAGTGCAACAGCAAAGTATGTTTACTTAAGATTGCACGCACAGAGACCATTCGATGACCACATTAACTCTGCCGATGCCAATTATCCCCCCTGACACTGCTCAGAGGAAATTAACCACCGTTTACTTTTTCTCCTCCAATTCTCCTATCCTAACAACAGCATGATGTTTTCTACTTGCCAACATCGTACGCCTAATTCTATAACCAATATAAATGCAGGAAACTTTAGCGAATTTATTAAAAGCAGACACGTGCTCATCAAATTTTTTTCAGCCAAACCACATTCTGCGTACCAGGTGAATATTTAATTCGTAGACTTATTTGGCTTTCTCTGACAACGAATAGTTCATGAGAATTCAGGAAAACCTTTGAATTTTTAGTGAATACCTGAAGATTTTCAGTGTTCTCACATGAATTTCGACTAAAGCAATATCTTTATTTAAGGGATCTCAAAACCGCCGAGCCAACACAGCAGTTAACACCTTTTACTCACATTCTGAAATCCTGAGCGTCCTCTTTTACGTAGGTAATCCCTACTTTGACGTCAGACAATCATAAAACCTGGTAGTTAGTAAAGGAGACGTCAGGCACAAGAATTCGAGACAATTAAACTACTGAGCTTTTACGTAGCCTCCCCAATAAGTGCCATAATAAAGACTTTAAAAATATTTGCTGCTTCATGCCCATAAGCTTCATATTTCGCCGAGGCCCGGCCCGTGGAAGTATCGAAAAACTGTGCTCAGCTGTGAACCTTCGCAAAATATTCTGATTCTTTTTCTACCGCAGTAGAAACCGTTTTACTCTTTGTTTTAGAAGCCCTTTTAATACGGTCATCAACTTTGCAGCTCTGATTAACGCCTGCAAATATGTTGCGACTTGTTTCAATGAACACTATGATTCCCCAAGCGGTCACTTGTCCGTCTTTTACTTTTTGAAAATCAGGTGTAGGCGTAAAACTAGAGTGCAAAAACCGTATTTAATCCAAAAATCGAAAAAAAATATGAGAAGATACAATCGTTTGGACAAGACATTATTCGTCGGGCGTTTCGAAATCCGTCCCAGATTCTTCATCAGAGACATTAGCATCAGCAGTAAAAAAACTGGCAATCCATGCACAGGGTCATTAGTGTACACTACTGTACTGTACGCTACTGTACACTCCTCTATCAAGGTTAATTGCCCGCTTGTGCGCTAATGGCTTGATGACCAGCGTGCTTGCCGTGGTCTTCGAAAATTCTATTCCCGTGATAGAATTGCACGTTATGACTGTTCGACCAGCTGGTTCCCTGGTATTGGCATTGGCTGACGCGTAGGTTGGTGCGTTCCCTAAGTGGCGACTTGCTCTGGCTAAATTGAGCCTAAGCACCGAACATGAACTGCATAGGTCGTTGGACTTGTTTATGGACTGGGGGCCTGTGAACTATGACTCATGTAATTCGCGACTGACACGGTTGTCACCTATCGCGAGAATTTCGGCCTCATCACATTTCAATGTGCGGCCGGGTCTCGTCGGTGATGTTGACATTCGCGCGAGAGGTGACAATCGTGTCAATCGCGAATCACATTAGTCATGTTTCACGGGCCCCCAGTCCGTAAACAAGTCCTACGACCTGTGTAATTCCGATTCGGTGCTGAGCCTCATTATAGCCAGAGCAAGTCACCACAGGCCACCGTGTCGTCTAACGCCAACACCGAGGAACCAGATGGGCGAGCAATCATCACCTCCAATTCCAATATACATGATGAGACTTTAGTAGGTCATGGCCCGCACGCTGGTTATGATGCTCTTAGTGTCCAAGCAGGAAATTATCCTCGACAGGGGGAGCAGTTAATTTTCATAAGTCGGCAGTAGCGTAGTGACTGTATCCTATAAATACTGCAACTTCCTGTACATGAATTACCCGTTTCTACTACTGTTCCTGCTAATGTCTCTGATGAAGAATTCGCGAAAGACTTCGAAATGTCAGACAAATAACAGCGTTGTTTCAGCGGGGGCCCATCTTCTGTTTCTCAATTACTTCCCGAGACTCGTATATTCGCATGTATTGGCGATGTAAACGACTGTTTGATGATAGGCTCTTTGACGGTCATAGATCATCATCGGCCGTCGTGACATTGGCTTATCGTCCGATTCTTGTTCACAAAGCAAGTATGTTTGATGGATGCTGCACAAATTTGCTTCGTTAGAAAATACGTAACCCGCGAGTCACCGCCGAGGCGCGAAAGCTATGTGGTGTAGGGTTGACTCCGTCTTCGGACGGTAGAAAAGCCAAACATATAATACGTTTAAGCTTTGAAATGCGGTGAGAAAGAAAGACGCCAACCCCCAGGTTGCAGCTCACTCGATGGGACACGGCCATAGTTTCAAGTTTGAGGAGGCCAACATCCTCCCAAGACGGTACAACTGCGTGAGCCGCGAGCTGCTCGAGTCAAGGTTCGCAGGCCCCCAGTCCATCAACGAGCGCAGCGATTTGGAGTTCCCATACTGTGTACTGAGGCCTTGTCTGAGCAGGAGAATCAGTCACGTGGGAAGGGTCGGCTCCAGCAAAAACTCTGACGAAAGCGAGCATAATGGTCGCGCAATTACCAAGCCCGCATCCAACACGGACATGGAAATCACGGCATTTAATAAGTCTAACGCGGAGTGTCAAGCCATCACCGCATCAATTAGGACCCAAACGGTGGCTATAGGCGTTGATAATTATAGTACTTACGCGGATGTCCGCTACGAAGTATAAATAGCGTGCAATCTGTGCATGTTTCGAACCTATCTGCGCATAATTCAGCCTAAACTATCATGCTAATGTTTCCTGGATAAAGGTTTATAAGGATGCAGGATGCGACCCACTCAGGAAACAAAAGATAGGGCAGCATTTTATACACGACCGTAATAAATGCCAACTTAGCTTTAACTCAATTCATTGTTTATGTTACGTTAAGCATTCATTGTCGGGTTTTTAGGGTCGCACAATAGATCGTTGGTCAAAACAGGACTGCTTTATCGGATCAAGTGGCGTTTTTCCACGCGGCGTCTATTAGAGCGCCACAGTTGTTTGAAAACGCATCAGTTTAACTGTGGTATCCGCCTCACCCTTGTTCACGACTGGATCCGTTGAAAGTGTGTCATGTCAGCTAGAAACGATATCGCGCATACCGGTCGGCGTGGCATAAGGCACCTGTCTCGCGTAAGCCGCACAACTTTCGGGATACTAAACTACTGTACGACCCCACTAATCCAGCAACAAATCGAAATCCTTAAAATAGAATGGCTACAATCATGGTTGATTTGGTATTATCCTTTCGTTCATTTAGCACCAACCCTAAAAACCCTATTGCTACCGGTCTCGTATTACACACTTTGCTGCATACGTTAAGATGCGAGGTCTAGGTATCTTATCGTTTTTATCATCCTCCAAACAATACGAAGAAGAAGGTACGAACACATGGACCGAATTATATTGAGACTGGCGTTTCGGACACTCGCTCGGTTTCATCGTCATAGGAACTGAGTGATTATTCCTGTTTGCTGTGACTGTTTCAGTCATTTCACATGCCTGATATCATAGCCGTGCTCGACGCATGAACTTTGACCTGCCTGTTTGCTGCTGGTTGACCGTGCGATTGACCACTGGTGGGCTCGCGTGACCTTTGTCCCTCTTGCGGCTGTCGTAACTGTTGGCAAGTCAGTTTGCTTACCGGCCTGCTCCTCGTCAGCCGTAAGACTGTTCAGTTGTTGCTGTTCGTCTCTGTTGAGGTCGTATATTGAGCTCTTGCCGATAGTATTATCATATTCCATGATACCTGCCTTCAAGGAGCAAAATAGCTGCCAGGTACAGATTCGAATTTTTTTAGGAAGGAATAGCTACATCTTGAAAATAATACGTTTCTTCATGACAAGCTTCTGTTTCCTCAGGCCACTATTGTAGGTTTTTCGCATTTGGATGAAAGCCGTAAAAAGAAGGAGTAGTCATGAATGGGCGAATGGAATTTATGGCGGTACTTATCACCAGAGAACGCATAAATATAAGGGAGGGATAATTTGGCAAATTGATCACAAACCCTTTCACGGCCATCCATACTCGGAATCACTTAATGCAATAAGTAATGTTTTTAACATGCAGTTCGTCCTAAGCTGGTAATTTGCATTTCGCCTAACACACAGTATAGATCACCTCGTCTAATATTCTTTTTTACCTATCCTATTTACGCGCATAGGAGACCAAATTCAAAGTGTCTCCACACGAGAAGGTGTTGCTTCAAGATTTTCTAAAGCGCTTAAAGTAGAGGCAGCGCAAACACTGTCAGCGGACTGACGAAACAAAAAGAGATTGCAGTAGTCGCCGGCTATTAAGCCCACCTCGGGCCCAGACCAAATTGGGCTTAATAAGTGGCGGGTTTATTAACCATGGGCTTAATAGCCGGCGACTACTGTATTCCTAATTTGTAAGCAATAACCGTACAAACATAAGTCGGTGTTGGTTGAGCAAATGAATTTCTTAACATAGCTAAATATAAAACGCAAACGCGAAACGCATTTCATAATGCTGTTAGAATCTTGAAAATTGCTACACAGGCAATCATATAAGAAAATTATAGATAATAACCACCCTTTTTTATCACACCTCATAAAGGACACGAAGTTGGCCAAGAGCCTTAAAGATGGTCTTCACTCGCTTGAATTAGAACGTTTGCGACTAATATCTCAACTGACACAAGGCCATGCTGTCACGACAGGACCGAAAAAATGCCGCGACCTACCGCGATAAAGTAAGATAATTAAAGCACTAAGACGTTTACGCGATGAGACCTTCTTAAAATGCTTGTATCTGCAAATAAAAATCAGAGTACATTAGTGATAAATGATGCATGCGAACTAAAGTCTATAAATTCTACGCAGTTATCCGCTTCATTTATTTGCAAATGCTTCCCCTGAGCAGATAAACCGTTTGGCTCTCTTGCAATTTACTTTTAGCAAGAGAATGGTAGATAATTTTAAGCAAATAGAATGCATGAGTTCTGAAAGGAGCCTTGACCGCTTGGTTGAAGTAGAGAAATTTTAGCTTGTAAAATTTTGAAATTTTTTCGAACTTTTCTTTCAATAATATTCGATTTAACAGAGGCACGCAGTTGATGGCGTGGTGTCATTTCGAACGCGTCTTTTTAGCCAAGTTGGCAGGTCACGTCAGGGAAAAATAAATTGCAGCATTCCGCATTCTTTCCTGAACAACTTTGTACACCATATCATTCCCTAACGCTTTCCAGACTGGATAATTAACCTATAGGAGAGTGCATTTTCCTCCTTAGTCTTACTTTGAGGAAAGAATTATTGATTTGTGATAGAAAATGTCATTCGTACCGGTGCAAAATGTCAAAATTAGGGGCAAGACCCTAATGTATTTATCAGCAATCGGTTAGCAACTTCAGTGTAAAAGTTTCACGCGTATGACGCACCAGAACAGATAGAGCTACAGAAACAAAAAAATCAAAAGAAGATGAGGTATTCCGTGGGAGAGGTTTTTTGATATCCGGTGTTTTGAGTTGCACTTTGGCCTACCCATTTTCAGCAACTGGAGGTCGGTGCGCACAGCTGAGATTGCATTGCGCCTTTTTGTTGATGCCTATACGCCTAGATCTGAGGATAGAGTCAAAGAAGGTCACGAGAAATCAGATCCGATTTTGTCCCACAGCAAACGCCCCTTCCTCCTATAACATCTCACTTGATAATCGCATTTTAAATACCATAAATCTGTAGTAGTTTATCAGATCTATTTTGCTAATTTCTTTTGCATATTTGAGGCAACGTTTCCTAGGCGTAAATTTAAAGATTGCAAAAGCAGCAAGATTTATTGGATCTATGGCATTTGACAGAGCTCTTCAGTTGCTGCCTCTCATTGCGTAGCATGAATCACGTAAGATAAAATACTATTAGAATTCATAAAGAAAACTCGCTACAAACAACAAGATCATAAGCAATGGCCAAGAGGCTAATCGGTAACATACAAAATTAAACGCTTTGGTCAGTAAAAAACGGGGAAAGTCGTCTGAGGTAAAAAAGTTGGGAGGGGAAATGCGTAAATAGGGAACTGATGTTACCACGGCAGAGTTAGGTTCAATACATGCTCCAGCTGCTTACATAGGTCGGGTATGAACGGCCGTTTGTAGGCTGCCTCCAGGTAGCTTAGGGTACGGGTTGTTTATGCCCGATGAAGTGCTCGGAAAGAAGTTTTGGGGTCAACAGAATGGCTCGTGTCTAGCAGATGTTCAGTAATCGATGACCGATCTTCCATAAAAATACCTTGAAAGTACAGTATTTGCATTATCTGAGTTTTGTTTCCAGTGAATGGAAACGCAACCCGGTATATATTCTTTTCCAGAGGACCAGAAAAATCTGTTCCATGGATATATTTGATGATGAATTAGCCAACCTTAAAAGCACCTTATTATAGACAGATATAGCAAACCTGTCGGACTTTTATTGATTCAGCAGTTAGCAGCTTAAAAGCCCGTTTTCATTTCATTGCCCTTTAAGGGCGATACCATTCTTAATGCCATCAAAAGACGCCATCTCAACGCCATCCAAAGGATGTACTATGCCGCCGAACTCATAATGTGCAATCCAACGAAACCTTAACCAATTCCTTAGGCAAAGAATGCCTTGCCTTTGCACGCCACTTCAGACTCTGTTTACGAATTTTTATGTACTTGCGGATGCAAGTACATAGGGTGAACGCAACGGCAATTGGCCACCAGAGCTAAAAAGTAGTTTCCTGGCTAGTTAATTAAAAAAGAAAGCAGAATATTCTGGTCATCGATTGCTGAACATCTGCTAGACACGGGCCATTCTGTTGATCCCAAAACTTTTTTCCGAGTACTTGTTCGGGCACGAGCAACTCGTACCCTAAGCTACCTGGAGGCAGCCTACATACGGCGGTACATGCCCGACCTATGTAAATAGCTGAAGCATGCAGTGACCCTAACTCTGCCGCGGTAACACAAGCTCCCTGTTGACGCATTTCCACTCCCAACGTTTTACCTCGGACGACTTTCCCCGCTTTTTTGCTGACCATGGCGTTTAATTTCTTATGTTATCGATTAGCCTCTTGGCCATTTCTTATGATATTGTTGTTTGTATCGATTTTTATTTATGAATTCAATTAGTATTTTCTCTTACGTGATTCACTTTACGCAATAAGAGGCAGCAACTGAAGAGCTCTCTCAAAATGGCATAGACCCAATAAATCTTGCTGCTTTTGCCATCTTTAAATTTTTCAAATTTCACACCGATTGGTAAGGCGATTTGGCTTCCAAACAATCAAGCACAAAATATCGATCCTGATAGACAAAACACTATTCCCCAACTTAGAGTACGTGACTACATGGGCACATTAGTAATAAAATGGCACTTGTTGGAAGACTGCAACTTTGATTACTGTGTAAATTGACATATCGATTTTCTCCTGCTTTTCCCGCACTACGTTTGCACCGCCGCATGACGCCATCCCAGTTCTCAGTCGAAAAGGAAAAGCGGTTGACGTTTGATATGCAACTACGAAGAGTTGCGAACTTAATAGGTGCCATTAACGTCTTTGATGATGGCCTCTGTCGGGACCTGATAAATATGTCAAATACAATGTCTGATTTATTTTTCTTGACATACATTTTTACGGACACTGCTGTTGGTATAGGTTAAGGCATTCGCTGGTGTGATCACTTTATTAAGCTTAAAATGGTTTCATTGTATATTTGCCTCAAAATTTAGAGAATAAATTACTCTTAGGTACAGATACCTGAAAATAGAACTCAGGCGCGAAAAAGTCAGAACACAGACCTTAACAATCATTTGCTTCAAGCAAAACGCAAAATTTGTTTCCGTGTACATGCCCTATGCAATATTCTCATTCCACCATAAAAGGAGATGCCTTGTTTCAGTGATTGAAAATTCTTCTTCTGAACTGCTTCTTGGAATTCGCCTATTCGCGTCTACCAGTATTCCACTATAGTATACAGCAACTTGATAAAATGCAGATATTATGTATATTTTGTTTCCAAATGCGCTTCACCTGAACTGCAGTTAATAGGCCCAGTCAAAGGTTGGACTGCAGTTATTCACAAACATAGCTACTTTCATAATCTTTATTAATAGTTCTTGAAAGCGCAACTTATCATACTTGTACATAGGAAAGCAAATGAGAATTTGGTCATTTTGAAAAATTATGGACAGAACATTAATTCACATTTTGAAGACCAACTATGCAATTTAATTTGCATATTTTGTCATATAAGTTTTAATTAAAAATTCAAGGTTCAGTTATCGAATGGATGAGTTTCAAATTGCGCTGCGGGTAGAATGATAAATGGACTGTCAAGCGTTGTGCGTCGATTTATTCGCCGTTCTCCCAGTTTTATAGCAGTTGTTTAAACTGCATATATCCCTGGATTAGGGCTTTTATTTGCAAGAAAGCAATCAGGGTTACTTTTAGTGTCGCAAGTTCTACACGAAGCAACCGACACAAAGCAGTACTGATTGCCAGCAATCGCCTACACGGAAAATCCACGGGCATTTCTGGGAAAGGTTTCTCATATTTTTAATATTTACCGTTTACAAAGGCATAGTGTCACATGCATAGTTGGTAGATGCCAGATTAATACCTTCCAATTTATTCGACTGCATTTTGTTGATTAAACTAAC